TTTTTTTTTTTTTTTTTTTTTTTTTTTTTTTCCCCCCCCCCCCCCCCCTCCAAACGGTAGCTTCTATTTTGTTTTCTATCCTCTCGCAAAGAGATAAAGGATTCACATTCGTTGCCTGACATCTTTCTACTCTGTCGAAAAGTTATCGAAACTCTCTCTTTACCTACTGCCTCTTTCGTTGAAAGTAATTAATTAATTAGTTAATTAATTAATTAATTAACCAATTAATCAATTACTTAATTAATTAACTAACTAATTAATCAATTAATTACTCAATTATGACTGCATTTTCACAGAGGCTCAGCCTTCTTCTTTCTCCTCCGCTTTACTGTCATTGTTAGTCGTAATGTGAAAATTTTCCGTGTCTTAATCGAGGTCGCTAGCTCAGAAATCTTCATGATAAGCCATTGACAATTGTCTTCGGGATAAGGGCCGACTCACACTAAGACACTTTATTATGGACGTAATTGCGTTCAGATGCATCCAGGTCGTGCCGGAAATGCGGTCGGATACATTTAAGTAAGATGGAGCTACCAGTGTGAGAACGCCCTAAGTCGTTCGCAATCTTGCCGATCTGAGTCGTCTGCCGTTGTCAGATTACTGTCTTTCCCCGAAAAGAACGTACGATCATGACCGCTGTATCTAGACTGAAACTTGGCCAAGTACATCGATAATTTCCGAATGTTCTACTCGGGGGAAGACGGTAGCAGGTTGACAGATGCATCTGCGGGCAATTACGTGTTAGATTCGGCTGAGGAAATCCTAGCGTGACCACGCCCCTTATTTGACAACAATTCTTGTTTATCTGCTTTTATCCCTTACGTCTCTCTCTCTCTTCACTCTCTCTCTCTCTCTCTCTCTCTTTCTTTCTTCCCCCCCTCCTCTCTCCGACTCTCTCTGTCTCTCTATCTCTCTCTGTCTCTCTTTCTCTCTCTCCTCTCTCCTCCCCTTCTGTTCAAGAGACATCGCTCTCTTCCAACTTACCCTGACGTAACTTTCTCCCTCGTATTCTGACCTCTCACCCACTCCCCTCCTCCCTCCATTGTGTACACATACGTAAATGTTCTGCCCCCCCTTTCCCTCTATTTTGTCCACATTCGTAAATATTGGTCTCCGTCAGGGTAGGAGCGCTCGCTGTCACTTTGTTTTTTTGGTGACATGCAATTCCGCCTTTTCCCGCTTCTCACCCTCCTCCCCCAACACGTCGAAGAGCGGACTACCTTCTTCCCCCGAATACAACGTACGGTCATTATAGCTGTATTTAGACTGAAAGACGCCTCAAATACAGCTATAATGACCGTACGTTCTATTCGGGGGAAGAAGGTGGGAAAAAAAAAAGGCAGCACAAGTGTCGTGACCCCTAATCACCTGTGGATATATCTGAAGACTGCTCAACTTTCATTGTGGGAAAATGAGGATCATAGTTCGGAGAAAGAAAAAGAAAGAAATTAATAAGATAAAGGGAAAAAAACGACCAAAGGGAAAAGAATAAAGATAAAGAAAAAGGAGGAGGTAAGCAATGGCCAGATTGCCATTCACACGCAATAAAAAAAAATCCGTTACTTGCAAGCGTGTACACTGTTCCAAAGGGGAAAAGAACAAGTAGAAAAATAGGAATAACAACGAAAAAAAAAACGGAAAAAAAAAGGAGGATGGAGAGGGTTATTACGGTTAAACAAGGACCAGAGAAACGAGGTAAGAAAATAAAACAAGAAAACGAAACACGAAAAAAGCAACGAGAGAGAAGGTAATTAAAAAAAAATAAAGAACAAGGGAAGAGGAGTCAAAGGGAGTAAAACAGAAAGAGGAGAGCGACTCTTTATGGGTGAAAAAGGTCCAAAGAGGAAGAAAAATGAGCATGCCCCTGCTCCTCCCTGCGCAAGGATGACCCCAAGTCGAGCGAGAATGGGGGGAGAGGATGGCCTCATATTAAGTGTTAGTTTGGGCCTCGCTCTACTCTTACTACTCACGAAATGTGCAAAGTCTAGATACAGCGATAATGAGGGTAGCTTGTTTGCTAGGGACTGAAAAGGCAAACAAGCTA